TCAGATAAGAGGATCCAGCATTTCAGTTTAGTGTCGATTTTGATGAGGAAAAAAGATCAAGACTTTGTTATGGATAAATGGAAAAAGTAGAGATTAGTACAAATGTTTTGGTGATGCGATAATTTTTGACACCACATAATGTACGGAAATATATAAGATGTCGTTTGGATTATTTGTTGGTGTAAACAATCACTTCCAATCCACTATCTTTGGTGGAGTCTTCATGAAGGACGAAACAATGCCAAGCTTTGAGCGGGTGTTTTCAGAATTCCTGAGTTTGATGGGTGGAAAGCTTCCAAAAACAGTTTTAACAGGTCAGTTGACAGTTTTGTGTCAGAAACATTTCATTAAAAATACTGTTTCAGAAAAATATGATTCTATAACATGTTTGTTGCAGATCAATGTCAGGCCATGGCTGCTACCCTGTCTAATATTTGGAAAGGTGTAGTGCATCATTGGTGCAGATGGCATGTTTTCAAGGATGCAAAGGCAAAACTGGGACCAAAATATAAGAAAGGTTCTGCTTTTAGGAAAGAATTCCATAAAATAATTAATGACATAATGACAGTTGATGAATTTGAAACGGCATGGGATCTTATTTTAGGTCGTTATGATCTTAGAGGCAATATGTACTTGTCTAACATATATAAAAAGAGGGGGCAATGGTGTAAGCTTTCTTCAAAGAATCATTTTGTGCCAGAATGTCAAGCACCCAGAGGAGCGAGAGTGCGAACCATATGCTGAAGAGTTTTGTGCCTAGGAATTGCTGAATGAATAGATTTATCCTATAGTTTAACAAACTTCTATTTGACCGCAACAGGGCGGAAGATCGAGCAGAGTCTGATACAAAAGTTGTAAGAATACTTGTTAACTACTCCCTCCGTTCCGGCGCACAAGCTCAGATTACAGATACCATGACGTACAGTGCATTTACTACGTACGTCGCGATTTGCACCGTGCTGCGGGCCGCGAAGTCATTCTTATCCGACGCTTTTTTTATAATGTATCCCACGCTTTCGGTTAGGATTCCACAGCTCGGTTTGTTTCCCGCCAATATTCCACACTTCTGTTTCCTTCCATAGTACTCCTTCTAACCAATGGAAACCAAAAATGAAATCTGGCAAGAGAATGAAATCCATTTGATTGGGATGAGGTGCCTGAGGACTTGTTTCAATTTGATAATCCTGTGTTCTGGCAAGAGAATGATCTCTGAGATGGTCGATTACCGGATGGATTATCTTTGCAAGTATCTTTGGCCATGGATGTTTCTCTGAGATGTGTGCAGCGTATATGGACTCAAGGACAGAGAGGTGGAGGTATCCATGCTGTCAAAAACAATAAAGCAAAGAATTGTGGACGTAAACGAATTGAACTTCGTTGTACTCGATGCCGGCGTCATCTGTGCCTGCCATGGGAAAGCACCTTGAGAACTGCTGGGACATGCATGAAACAAGGGACATACTACATGGGACAAGAGCCGACACTTCCTTCTTGCCGTCGGAGCAGATTGATTGAACCTCAACACCATTGTCCTCGTCGGCGTCGCTTGCGTCAAATGAATCCGGCACGTAGTTCACGCCACGAACTAGTGCTTCTCCACAGGTGGCTTGGCCAATTCCCTCACCGTTAGACGACGTCATAGTCAAAAAAAAAAATCACAGAAGAGTGTGTAAAAAGGGAACGGAGTACTAGCTTGCATGCAGCGACGTCGACGCTTCGGCGCCATCTCATGCAGCATGCAGCATGCAGCATGCATCTTGTCGTTGCCGGGGAGGAGTAAATGACGGACGCCTCGGCATACATGCACCACCCGGTATTGTGGCCAATTTGAAAAACGGCTGTACGCCGGGTATACAGGAACGGAGGGAGTATTTAATTTCTAATACCTTTGATTTGTGCCTTATAATCAGAAAATGTTTTGCAGGTCAGGAATGGAAGGAGGCGTGTATGGTCAATAGAAGAGCATGCTATGACATATTCTACACAGCTGCTGTATATGACCTGTTCCGCAAGGAGGTCGATAAATCGACCGACAACTTTGCTATAGAGAAGACAAAGAACAAACAATTTGATGTTGTGCATGTTAAACCAGACAGAAAACTACCTTGGGCTAGAGAGAAGTTCTCTGTTCTGATTAACAATGAGGGTGAAAGCTATGAGTGTGAATGTGGGTTATACCAACATTTTGGTGTATTATGCAGTCATGTGCTGAGAGTAAGTTCTGAACTGAATTTTTGTTTTTTCATGCAATACTTTGTTACTAGTTGCTATCAGATGAGTTAAAAATGAAAAGACCACTTTGATAGCAAAATGAATCTAAAACTTTGTTGGGTATTTTTCAGGTCATGGTGCAATTGGGTGTTTCTGAAGTTCCAAAAGCACACATCCTTAAACAGTGAACTCGTAAGCTAGAGACCTTCTACCTGGAGAATTGAGGTGCTACCGGTAGGCCACATTGTGTATGGAATTGATGACATACCGCCACACTTATCTCTATGTCAATGCAACTGAAGTAGTGCAAGATGGTAACAAAGATTTGGGTGCATTTGACATAGCAACATAGTATATTAAGAAGGCTTAGAAAAAGCTTAGAGAATATTACAAGGCTAAAGAAAATGACAAGTGTACACCATCAGCTGCAAATAGAGTTGTCATGCAAAGCAATTACTATACAACTGATAACGATACTGGCGTTGACAGTGGATTAGAGAAAGAGGTAAGACTTGGCAATACTTATGGTGCTGCAGGTTCAAGCTCTGGGTTGAGTGATTCAGAGTTGCTGAAGTTTGGGGCTCCTGCATTCAATAGGCCCGCCGGAAGACCAATACAAAACCGTGAAAAGGGTTTCCTAGAAATCTAAGGGAAGAAGCGTTGGAGGAAATCAGACAATAGGCCCGCCTGAAACTCTGAAGAGTCAAAGAAGAAGAAGATTCGTTGTAGTGAGTGCCAAATTCTTGGGCACAATGCAACAAACTGCAGGAAGAAGCATGTTGATCTGAACAGTGAGATCCTAGAATTTTAATCCTTATTGTAACTATTGAGTCAAGAACAAGTAACAATCGGCTCTGATTACATTACATGCCCTAGTACTTCTTAACTTTTAAGTCAAGAACATGTAGCTATTGACTCGCATTAGCTGTGAAACCATGTGGCTTACTGATTGCATTAGTAGAATATAGGAACTGATGCATTTTGATTGAGCATTTGGTGTGATGAACACAATGTAAGAACTGCCACAAGAATGCGATTTTATCCTGAGCTGGCATGAATATGTAGTATCGACTGTCTAGATTAATTTGTGTTCCTTCATATAATATTTTGTGACATGGGTGCTGTTTGTAAGATGAGTACAAAATATTAAGTTTGCAAGTCCGGAACCAACAGATTGTAAATGTGTGGTAATAAGCAATTAGAAGTAACAAAAACAGAAAAAAGATACCCTAGATTAATAGCATATTTAAAAATAGAATAAAAGATGAGTGTGTGATAGGTAAGAAATAAAATATGAAATATTTATATGAGAATAAGCTATTAAAGAGGGATATTACAAATGCTATGGCAATAAGCAGTTAGAAATAACAAAAAAGAAAAACAAGTGCGTCAAATGAAAAAAATTAAAAATAGAATAAAATATGAGTTTTAAAAATCGAATAAAAAATGAGTGCGTGATTGGTAAAAATACAAGATGAGCATATTGATCTGAAGTAAGCTGCTACAAAAGGAGTACAGTTAAAAAAAACAATTGAAAAGAGAGAGGAGTGGTGTGAGCAGTGACTGCAGTTCGGAAGTGTGCGGCAGCACGTGGGTGGGCCCTATACCTGGTAGTGTCAATGAAAAAAGGAAATACAAGAAAAATACGGTCAAAAAATAAAGGTTGTCACAGGAGAATACGATGGAGAGAGAAGGTTGTCACAAATCTCGACACATCTTTTGACGGTGATGATAGTACATGCCCAGCATGTTTATGCCACAAGACGTTTCTGCTCACCGTGTGTGTTGATTCCACGCGGCCTGTTTCCGCTCAGCGCAACTCAACGCCTTGTCAGTTTGTGCTCAAAAAATCCCAACCTCCTCGTCCTTCCCTTTTTTCTTCTTGCTACCTCCGTTTCTCCTCGCCGTCCAGGAAACCGTAGCCGCCACCAAGCCTACAGCGCCGTCGCTAGCCTCCTTGGAGCAGCCGCTTTGGCTCAGTAGTTACCGGCTGCTTCGCTGGTCGTGAAGAAGGTGGTGCCATAGCGTCGTCGCGGATGGCCTTGAGCGCCACAACCTCGGCGCGGCACGGGCGACCTCACCGTCGTGCCATCCAGCAGCTGTGCCACCGTGCTCCTCCTCGCTGACCCAGCCGCCGTGCTCTTTGCCAACCCCACGGCCGTGCTCCTCCACGCCGACCCAAAACCGCTGCCGCGCCACCACCATATCGGATCCAAGGCGTGGCAGGGATGAACGACGGTGGCAGCGTTGAAGAGCCGACGCCAGGCGGCCACGGCGGGGATTCGGGCGGGACCAGTGATGCCTTGCTCTTCGTGGATCTAGTGCGGTGCCCTTCGAGATCCGACGCCGCGAGGCACGACGAACTGTGGCTAGCAGTGCCCCGCGCGGAGAGTTAACTTCTCTAAAGCATCAGCAACCTGTCAGCGACACACAGGCTACTCCATCTGGTGAGCTGCTGGACTCGCCTGACAAGGAAGATGCGGCTATCTAGCCCAGGAGAAAGACTAAGCCCAACACCAAGCTATCAGGCCCAGGGTGGTCCAAGTTGTTGATGTATATAGGCGCTCGGCTGTAAGAGAGAGGCATCAATGAATTTGTAAACAACTCTCTTAAACTCTAAACATAGAACTCGTCCTCGCTTCTCCCTGTTCTTTCCATTCCCCCGAGCTTTTCCCCTCTCTACCGATCCTGTTGCTAACAAATTAGTATCAGCTTTCCTCGGTCCAATCCTGGAACCTTATCCACCACCCCACCCTCACTATACCCGATTTTAACGCTCACTCGATGCTATGGAACCCAATTTCAAGCTCATCCTCAAAGAATTGGCGCAGTTGAATCGCCGATTCGACGAGCAGGACGCCAGTCTGAACCAGCGCTTTGCTGATCTAGAGCATAGTCTCTCCGAGCGCTCTGCCGCCGTCGACTCCTGCTTCGATGACATGGTGGCGTCCCAAGCCACCGCCACCGGTGACCTCGTTTAGTGCATCTCCGATCTGGAGGCCGCACCAGTGGATCTGCAAGTCGCCGCTGTCGAGAACCGCCTCGCTTCCCTCGAAGCCAGCTACACCGACTGTGACAACGAGTTCGCCACCCCCCTGGCCGATTTGGAGTCTCTGCGCGTCGCTACATCAAGGACGAGCATGACGACCATGTGGCGATGCTCAAGTCTGCGACCACTGAGCTATGTGCGTGGCAACCCGGCGTGGACGGCGTCCTCAACGACATCCAAATCTCCATGCAGAAGCTGGCGAAGTCGCTTGACCGCGCCGTGTTTGATGAAATTCCGCATGGCTCCGGTGTCTTCAACACTCCAACCAAGGTGGCCGCGCACTCGTCTGCCAGGTTCCCCGTCGACCAGCACGTTGTTGGGCACCATGTTGAGCCGACTACACATGATACGAGATCCAGGGTCGTCACAACCTGGATCCCTATCCCGGCCAAGGGTACATCCTTCAATTCTCATCCTGTTCATCCTATCTTTCCTGCATCGTGTTCGCGTGAAGCCCATCCCCACCTTGCTGTTGTTCCAACGTCCTTCCATCACTCCCGCTCGTCCACCGGATCCTCCCCGTTCTACATGGCCGTCTTCCTAAGCTTCCGTTTCTCATGTTCGATGGAGATAATCCATGGCGGTGGCGCTCACGCTGCAAAAAATCTTCGCTATGTGCGAAGTAGATCCATCCCTTTGGATCAGTCTGGTCGAGCACTAGATGGAAGGGGCTGCTGCTCGCTGGTACTAGTCTGTCTTCGCAGTTGCCCATGGCCACTTGAGAATCCTAGTGTCGCTTGATGCATGATCATTTAATTCATGATCAGCATGCACTAGTAGAAATCTGCACACCTATAACGAAAATCTTAATGGCGAATCCAAAACTGTCAGTTAATCGCTTTCTATGATATATTTACGTTTTGTCATGGATCATCGGTGACGATCCTCTAGCCATGCCTATCTATGACCGAAACAAATATCGTCACAAATATTCGACATTGAACAACATAGGGTTTCGGCATAGATCACACGTGCAACTGTTCCTACTTATCTGTGATGATCTAGTTTAGAACTGTGACAACCAGACGTTCGTCATTGAACAAATTACACATCTGTGACGAACGGATTTCGAATTGTAACGAACGGTACTTCGTCATAAATCTCCGCATGGTCCTTTCAACATCCGACATGTACATGTGGGACCCGCGATCACCCATTCCTGACGAACGGTTTTCCAACTGTCACGAACACCAGTTCATCATTAAAGTCTCCGCACGGTCCTTTCTCCATCCAACATGTACTTGTGGGACCACGTGTACCTGTGGGACCTATAATTACTCATCCGTGATACTTACAATTCGTCATAAATTTGCTGCTCCATCCTTTCTCTATTCGACGTGTACATATGGGACCTTTCTTCATTTGACATGTACCTATGGGACCTGCAGTTACTCATCCATGACGCTTGCAATTCGTTATAGACGTGTACCTGTGGGATCTTTATCCATGTGACGTGTACCTATGGGACCTGCAGTAACTCATTAGTGATGCTTGCAATTCATCATAACTTCACGTCCAGCTGATGGATGGGCTAGGCACACGAGGCGGTGATTCTAAGAACGGTGCGGAACATCGCCGGTTTGACAATTGGGCTGAACGTCTTGTCGTAGTCGACGTCAACCTGCTATGTGAAGCCGCAGACCACCCAGCGCGCCTTGTGCCGGGCGAGGGAGCCACCAGAGTGGTACTTGTGCCTGTGCAACCATTTGTCAGTGACCACATTAGCATCAGGCAGTCGAGGTACAAGGCGTCAGGTACTGTTTGTGATGAGAGCATTGTACTCCTCGGCCATCGTAGCTCATCAGTTGGGATCGGCGAGGGTGTTGCGATAGTTTGCTAGAACTGGTGAGGAAGTCGTGGCGGAGAGGTTGAGGCGCACCACTAGACGTAGGCTGCCGGTTTGAGATCACGTCACCAGGCACGAGGGAGGCAGTGGCGCCGGTTGCACGTCTGGCATCGGGGGCGCTGGTGCCAATGGCACTGTGGGCATCGGGTTGGCAGAGGAGGACGGCGCCATTACCACCGAAGTTGGTGGTGTCACCATCGATGGCGTGGGATCTGGTCAAGGCCGCCGCTGGTAGGTGGGACCAAAGCGATCCAACCCCGCCCGGGCATGGAGGAGCAGGAGACCCGCCTAGCGGCGGTGCAGCAACATGGCCCCTAGCTGTAGGTGCAGGGACAGCCGGTGGGACGTGGCCGGGTAGAAGGAGCGGGCCAGCATATATGATGATCGGGTCCTGGAGATCGGGCTGCTCATCCTCGCTGACAGAGGTAGCAGTCGTAGGTATACACGGGCACTCGATGCCTGAAGGCGATAGTGAAGAAAGACCTTGCATCAAAAAAAATCTAGTGACGACGGCACAGAGGCCGCTGAGGCAACCATAGCGAAGGGGAACACTGACTCATCAAAGACGACATGTCGAGACAGATATGTCCAAGCAGTGGTACCCTTTATGGGATGAGGGGTAGCCGAGGAACACACATGGAGTCGAGTGAGGGGAGAGTTTGTGGGGAGTCGTGGCACTGAGGTTTGGATAGCATAGACATCCAAATACACGAAGGGAGGAGTAATCGGGAAGTTTTTGGTGTAGGAGTTGGTAGGGGATGGCGTGATGAACAGACATGGAAGGGCCCCTATTGAGGAGGAAGGTGGCGGTAATTAGGGCTTCAGCCCAATAGGGAGGCGGCATGGACGCGTGGATCAGCAGGGTGCGAATTTTTCTGTTGATGGTGCGGAGCATGTGTTCAGCTTTGCCATTTTGCTGAGAGGTGTAGGGGCATAAGAGGCGCGGTTGGATACCGTGGGTAGAGAGGAAGCTGGTGGTAGCATGATTGACGAATTCAGTTCCATTATTAGCCCTAAATGACCGTGGTGTGACGTTGAACTACATGTTAGCATAGGCAATGAACTCAACAATATGGTGGTGTACATCATATGCCAAACATTATCAAAGGGCACCGCACTAGATCCACGAAGAGCAAGGCATCACTGGTCCCGCCTGAATCCCCGCAGTGGCCGCCTGGCGTCGGCTCTTCAACGCTGCCACCGTCGTTCGTCCCTGCCACGCCTTGGATCCGATATGGTGGTGGCACGGCAGCGGTTTTGGGTCGGCGTGGAGGAGCACGGCCACGGGGTTGGCAAGGAGCACGGCGGCTGGGTCAGCGAGGAGGAGCACGGTGGCACAGCTGCTGGATGGCACGACGGTGAGGTCGCCCGTGCCGCGCCGAGGTTGTGGCGCTCAAGGCCATCCGCGACGACGCTATGGCACCACCTTCTTCACGACCAGCGAAGCAGCCGGTAACTACTGAGCCAAAGCGGCTGCTCCAAGGAGGCTAGCGACAGCGCTGTAGGCTTGGTGGCGGCTACGGGACGGCGAGGAGAAACGGAGGTAGCAAGAAGAAAAAAGGGAAGGACGAGGAGGCTGGGATTTTTTTAGCACAAACTGACAAGGCGTTGAGTTGCGCAGAGCGGAAACAGGCCGCGTGGAATGGACACACACGGTGAGCAGAAACGTCTTGTGGCATAAACATGCTGGGCATGTACTATCATCACCGTCAAAAGATGTGTCGAGATCTGTGACAACCTTCTCTCTCCATCGTATTCTCCTGTGACAACCTTTATTTTTTACCGTATTTTTCTTGTATTTCCTTTTTTCATTGACACTACCAGGTATAGGGCCCACCCACGTGCTGCCGCACACTTCCGAACTGCAGTCACTGCTCACACCACTCCTCTCTCTTTTCAATTGTTTTTTTTAACTGTACTCCTTGTGTAGCAGCTTACTTCAGATCAATATGCTCATCTTGTATTTTTACCAATCACGCACTCATTTTTTATTCGATTTTTAAAACTCATATTTTATTCTATTTTTAATTTTTTTCATTTGACGCACTTGTTTTTCTTTTTTGTTATTTCTAACTGCTTATTGCCATAGCATTTGTAATATCCCTCTTTAATAGCTTATTCTCATATAAATATTTCATATTTTATTTCTTACCTATCACACACTCATCTTTTATTCTATTTTTAAATATGCTATTAATCTAGGGTATCTTTTTTCTGTTTTTGTTACTTCTAATTGCTTATTACCACACATTTACAATCTGTTGGTTCCGGACTTGCAAACTTAATATTTTGTATTCATCTTACAAACAGCACCCATGTCACAAAATATTATATGAAGGAACACAAATTAATCTAGACAGTCGATACTACATATTCATGCCAGCTCAGGATAAAATCGCATTCTTGTGGCAGTTCTTACATTGTGTTCATCACACCAAATGCTCAATCAAAATGCATCAGTTCCTATATTCTACTAATGCAATCAGTAAGCCACATGGTTTCACAGCTAATGCGAGTCAATAGCTACATGTTCTTGACTTAAAAGGTAAGAAGTACTAGGGCATGTAATGTAATCAGAGCCGATTGTTACTTGTTCTTGACTCAATAGTTACAATAAGGATTAAAATTCTAGGATCTCACTGTTCAGATCAACATGCTTCTTCCTGCAGCTTGTTGCATTGTGCCCAAGAATTTGGCACTCACTACAACGAATCTTCTTCTTCTTTGACTCTTCAGAGTTTCAGGCGGGCCTATTGTCTGATTTCCTCCAACGCTTCTTCCCTTAGATTTCTAGGAAACCCTTTTCACGGTTTTGTATTGGTCTTCCGGCGGGCCTATTGAATGCAGGAGCCCCAAACTTCAGCAACTCTGAATCACTCAACCCAGAGCTTGAACCTGCAGCACCATAAGTATTGCCAAGTCTTACCTCTTTCTCTAATCCACTGTCAACGCCAGTATCGTTATCAGTTGTATAGTAATTGCTTTGCATGACAACTCTATTTGCAGCTGATGGTGTACACTTGTCATTTTCTTTAGCCTTGTAATATTCTCTAAGCTTTTTCTAAGCCTTCTTAATATACTATGTTGCTATGTCAAATGCACCCAAATCTTTGTTACCATCTTGCACTACTTCAGTTGCATTGACATAGAGATAAGTGTGGCGGTATGTCATCAATTCCATACACAATGTGGCCTACCGGTAGCACCTCAATTCTCCAGGTAGAAGGTCTCTAGCTTACGAGTTCACTGTTTAAGGATGTGTGCTTTTGGAACTTCAGAAACACCCAATTGCACCATGACCTGAAAAATACCCAACAAAGTTTTAGATTCATTTTGCTATCAAAGTGGTCTTTTCATTTTTAACTCATCTGATAGCAACTAGTAACAAAGTATTGCATGAAAAAACAAAAATTCAGTTCAGAACTTACTCTCAGCACATGACTGCATAATACACCAAAATGTTGGTATAACCCACATTCACACTCATAGCTTTCACCCTCATTGTTAATCAGAACAGAGAACTTCTCTCTAGCCCAAGGTAGTTTTCTGTCTGGTTTAACATGCACAACATCAAATTGTTTGTTCTTTGTCTTCTCTATAGCAAAGTTGTCGGTCGATTTATCGACCTCCTTGCGGAACAGGTCATATACAGCAGCTGTGTAGAATATGTCATAGCATGCTCTTCTATTGACCATACACGCCTCCTTCCATTCCTGACCTGCAAAACATTTTCTGATTATAAGGCACAAATCAAAGGTATTAGAAATTAAATACTCCCTCCGTTCCTGTATACCCGGCGTACAGCCGTTTTTCAAATTGGCCACAATACCGGGTGGTGCATGTATGCCGAGGCGTCCGTCATTTACTCCTCCCCGGCAACGACAAGATGCATGCT